GACTGGTTAATCGTCAACTCTTACTCTTACGAAGCCAATGAACGGGGTTTAATTTGTTAGAAATGGTTTTGGCATCGAAATTGCAAATTCCGTGATTGCTAAAGGTGTAACTTCAAATATCCGAATCAAATTCCCGAAGTGAATTCGAACGTAGTTAATTTCGGGAATTTGATCAAATTACAGGTTTGCTAAATGTCTCTAATATATCATTCTGAATATTCGATCCGACAACGCTTGAAGCCGTAGGTCGTCTGCTACCTTTGAGTGGAGGTTCAGGACTCAACGCATGCACGTGGAGCGGCTGTGCGATCCATTCCATGTGGCTGTGGGCTAGACAGAGCAGGGCGTCAAACCGTGCCGAACGATTTCTTAAACTATCCCATAGCTATAGGGTTTAAGTGATTTCCCAATAGCTACCTTCGAAACAACAAAATTGAACATATTCATGGAAATTTATATATATCCTAGCGGGTTAAGAGGTTTTGATGTACTGTAGCTCCTTAGGGCTTGGTGGTGATAGGGGTAGCCGAGGTGATGGTGGGAGTCGCGGTGGCGTTGGTGGCGTTGGGGATCACCGTGGGGGTGGCCGTTTGGTTGCAGCTGGGCTTGTCTCCGCGCAACTTCAACGTGATCGAATGGAGGTCCAAGTTGAGGTAGTCGGCCATGATGTGGTTCAAGTGTGTGTTGTCATGATTGCCGTTGCATCGACGGGTGAATACGGATGGACCGGCGCAGTACAAGTTGACGTCCGTGCCGACATGGCCGATGGTTGTCCACGCAATATTGGCTGTTTGCGAAATACATTGACCCATGTACACGACCAATTTGGAGGTCGAGTACGTGGCGTTGGCGACAATCTGCTTTACTTCGGCCGCGAAGACGGCATCCCATTCCTTGGTGATCTCCTTGGTGGCGCTGTTTTGGGTGATCAGGTCCTTGACCTTTTGCAACGCCGTCGCTTCCGTGTATGTGGCACGGTCGCTGCTAAACAACGCCTGCATGCCTTCTGTGGACATGACCTGCTTTACCAGCGGATCGGGCTCCCACTTGTACACTCCGTCACGACCCAGCGTGATCCCGCCGGTGCCGTGGTCGGCCGCCGAGATCATGGCCACGTTCGGGTTGGAGTACACGAATTTCTTGATCACGCTCACGGTGTTGTCGAACTCAATGGCTTCCTTGCCCATGGTACCCGCGTCGTTCGAGTGGCCGGCGTGGTCGACGCGGGAGCCTTCGATCATGACGAAGAACCCGTTCTTCTGGGCCCGCTTGTTGTTCTTGAGGATGGCGAAGATGTGCTCGGTCATTTCACTCAAGCTCGGTGCCTTGGTTTCGCCACGGATGCGATCCACTTCGTACGCAATGTGCGACTTCTCGTACAGCCCAAACATGCGCAGTGTGCCGTTGACTTCGTTGGTCTTGCGGTACGCGGCCAACTCGTCCTTGTCCAGCGTTATGGTGTAGCCGGCCGCCTCGAGCTTGGCCAGACACGCGTCGCTGAAGTGGCGCTTGCCACCGCCCAGCAAAAAGTCCAAGTTCGCGTTGTCGCAGTACTGATCGGCAATGTCGTTCTCGAGCCTGCGATTGTGGATGTGAGCCGCGAACGACGCGGGGGTCGCGTGGGTAACACGGGCGGTCACGATCATCCCCACCACCATGCCACGGGCTTGCGCAGCTTCTAGGATGGTGCCGAGGGGGCGCTTTTCCGTGTCGACGCCGATCGCAGAGTCGTATGTCTTGAAACCCGTCGAGTACGCGGTGGCGGACGCAGCAGAGTCCGTGACGAGTGACGTGTTGGAGAAGGTCTGGACAGACCCACGAAAAAGCGGGTCGATATTCAACATCTTCTTGTGGGTCGGGTCGAGCATGTTGCGAGCAAGGGCCCAAATGTTGGGCCCCGTGCCGTCAGGGATCATCATGATCACCGAGCGGGGCAAGCGGTGGTCTTCGTCGATTTCGTAGTCGACATCAGGCCGGCTGTCGTCGAAGCTGAAGGCTGCGTTGATGGCGAATGAAGCAGACAGCAAAGTTGTGACCTTGGCAAGCATGCTACTGGTAAGATAAAACGTGAAATGATTTTGTGTTGACTTCGCTTGTAGAATGGTGTACAGGACGTGACTTTTGAGGATACAGGTACTGTACAGCTCCAGGCAGCTGCTGTTGACATGTAGAGTGGTCGGAGATTTCAAAAACATCAGCATTGTAACGTTACTATTAATACCAAGTCGTATCCAACGTCATGGGAAACAACGTGTCTGAAACGATAGATTGGCATCGGCATTGCCGAGACGCATCGTTATATGCATGTAATGTCAGGACAACACAAGTGCCTTGGACGTAGCTACGGTACAACTACGTAGTAAGAACATGTGCGACTGTAAACGCTATTTGACAGTTATATCCGAATACCCCACTCTGCGACTGTAAAATACAGGAAACTGCATAATTTTACCGCGAGACTGCAACTCGGCCAGGTTACAGTTTCGACTGTAAAAGACAGTTTTGATGAATTTGCCAAGAACATGTTATCAATGGATAATTTTGTCATCATCGGTGTCATATAGTTGACGGAAAGCCAACAATCACTTTCCTTTGAGCAAATGGTTCCTTCAAACACGCTCATGGCTCACGCTTCACTAAATCGTCGAGTGAGCAATGAGACAAGTTTTCAGGTGTGAATGACCGATTTTCCTTACTTACACATTTGAACAGTCGTGATTCTCATTTATGCGAAATATATTGGTCTCGCTCGTCACGAAATATATCCGGTGGTTGCGCATCTAACAGAGCAAATTACGAAATATGTTGGCAATCCACGAGCGACCCACGAAACGCCGATGTCGCGAAATGTAATGAAGCTCCACGATTCCACGAAATATACCAGATATTTTTCGAAGTTAACCACAAAATGGTGTAAGGTACATTCAAACACATTGAAATCGAATCTCAAACAATATTGTACCATGCTCTCAAATCTTAGGGCACGTACCCAGTGTACTATTAATAGTGTATATTTGGACTGTTGTATCGAGGAAACATAGTCGTAAACTTAAACACAAGGACCAAACTCCTTTTGCCGAACGCATGCAACTGGCATGTGGAATGCTTTGGTCCTTCGTGGTTCTTCCACAAGTACACTGTATCGAGATTCAGGCGCATGCTAAGTTTACATACAGTTTACTTTGGCCAAGTGAAATCTTGGAAGTCAAATGAAACTTCGCCAAGTAACATATGTTAGCATATGCTGGACGTTGTTCTAACAGTAGTAGAATTCCCTCATTAAAACAGTTCCACTGTTGTAATACTGTTTCAATGAGATTTATAAGGAACTTTGTATGCTCAGACCACCTCACCTCTTAAAAGGGATTAACTGCATCGCTAGTGGTTAGCTATCGCTAACTACTGAGATGCACTTACTGTAACCCTGGAGATTTAGCATCGTATATACTCAGCGGGGGTAGGACGGAGTCCCAGGTTACAGGGCTACTGGCGAAATGGTGTATCCGGATGTAATAGTTCCCTCATTACTACGTACTTCACTGTCAGTAGTATATCATATCAGTATTTCGGGTCAAAACAACAGTGTACTCGACCTTACTACATTTGTGGACATAATCTTCGAATTACTAGTGTCTGATAACATTAACAACTTCTACTACCGTAGGTTACGAATAGAGATCCCTTTTATACGAGTTTGTCAAGAAGGGGCACTTTGGCCTTTCTTCTTTGTCCTCATTGACATATCCGGATGATGTCACGGCAGGTTTTTGGCTCAGACAGCACAAAACACCGGATAAGGATACTACTATCCGGTGTTCTCTTTCGTTGGCTGTAACCAGTCCGTTAATCATACTTTCAGTTTTACCCCGACTACACAAGTGTTCCTTCCGCTCTCATCCCCTTCCTCGGTGCTACCAGTTTCCTCGTCCCTCTTGATAGGTTATGAGCCTCCTTCCTACCTCTGCACAGCCCTGTGTGGGCACACGACTAGATGAGTCGCGACCTCTGGCCTACACTCTGATGAAAACGGACTTCTTGTCCCAGGCGATGACGCGTGATCAAAATGCCCACGGCCGCGATACAGGTCAAAACGATCAACGTTGAGGTAGGCAAGAAGCTTGCAGCTTAGCGCTCTGCCGCGCACAATTCCTTAGTTTCTGCCGACTCGGTTAACCTTCGCCGCTTATACCAAGACGACGGCGTCTCGCTATTTGCTCTTTCAGCTTCTTAAGATTAGTTTGAATCTAACCCCTTGGACAGCAACCCCGCCGTCATTGCCAACCACCTTCGAACTCTCAAGCTCACGAAAAGAGAGTAGCATCGACACTCTGGCTATAAAGCTTACTGACCTCGTCATGCGTTAACGCGTGTCTATGACCTCGTCTTCCATCGACCTTTTGGATCCGTCGGCGATTTCGTCAATCGACTATAACAGCCACATCTCGATCTACCACACTCTATGTGCCATATCTCACACCTTTATTATCGATATGGAGTTCTGGAAAGTCGTAACGAACTATGTTTCCACCGCGCGAGCTACCAGTACACCCTTTGTTGGTGATAACGTTTTGGTGTCCCTCCGTGGTGTTCTTACGAATCGTCTCGAATGCGCCTCTGCCCTGGGTGATCACGGCTCTGCCGCAAACATGCAGTCTCGTTCTCAGTTTGCTGCGGTGACGCATACTGTCGCGGTCCCTACGCCTCCTCCACAAGCTATGAGCCAGCCAGGTGGCTCCTACCATGTCCTCAACGCATTCACCACCCCGGCTTATGCCTATCATGACTGCGTCAAAACCCCCGGCAAATCCTGCTTCTACGGTGGCGTTGCTAGCCACACCCTCCCCATGTGCCCTACTCTCAATCGGGCGAATTTGTCCGCAACACAATGCGTGCTGACTTTGACCGCACAGTCTTTGACAAACACGGTTCTGCCTCCACCAATAAGCGCAAACGCGACATCCACTATCGTAGCGCTCTACCCATCGCCGTCGCTACGACCGCAATGACGGTGGAAGGCCTAGTGGCCAGGGTGGTTTCAGTGGCTGTGGTGGCCCAGGTCGAGATAACAGTGATCACGGTGGATATGAACGTGATGACCGTGACAATGGGGGTGGCCCTGATGGTGTAGACCGCAGGACGAATCATGCTGGTCGTGATGACCGTGGCTCTGGTCGTTACGACTGTGACGACGGCAGCGCTGCTTATGATGCAATCAACCGTGACCTTGGACGCGGTTGTTCTGAGTCTGCTGCCAACTACACCATCATACCATCCTCCCACAACCGTGTCCTCAAAATGCCGCAACTGCCTACCGTGAAATCCAAAGTTTTTACTACGGGCTCTGCTCTACTCTTCGACGTGTTTGCATCGCAGCTGCGCCCTCCACTAGCTTCGACTCCTGCGCCTGCTTCGGCTCTGACACTGGCGCCAGTTACCGACGAACCAGCCTTGCTGCCAGCCAAGTGCCGGTCTCCCGGTGACGCTGGTGATCTCGACTTCGCTGAAGTCCCGTCTAACGAGGTCCTTGTTACCGACCGTCTACACCTCTACCCATCACATTCATTATTCCAAATCCCTTCGAACCCGACCAAAGTGGATCTTCCACTGTTCCCACCCAGTGCCTTCTTGGCCGCCTGCAGCGACGTCATTACCGCTGCATCGGAAACACCCATCAAGGTGGTTCTCCAACTTCCACCACGATGTGTCGACGGTGTCCGTCCCCATCTACCCTTCCCTTCCAAGTAATCAAGGGCAATGACATTATTGCCCTACACGCAGATCTCCGCTACTGGGAGAATGATGCTGGTGACCCACCTCTAGCTTAATCGATGACCTATGGTCCTGCCAACTTCCCCGCTCTGTGAACATTAGATCGTTGATTCCGGTGCCTCTACCTCGTGCACCCAAACCGAGATTATTTCTCGCGCTACGTCCCATGTGTGCTGTCCTTGACAGTCAGGACAGCGCACGTGGGACGTAACGCGAGAAATCATCCCCAGTGCCAAGGTCCCAGTTGTCGGTTATGGCACCATCTCGATGCTAGAGAACATGTCGTCCCGCGACCAAGTCGATGATATTCGTCCATGCACTTTGCGCCTCAATTTTGGCCTACATCGCCCCGACATACAGTTCAGCCTGTTCTCCGTCCGCCAAGCGTCGGATGACGACATCACAGTCCGGCTTCCGGCTAGTGTTATGTGTGAAACCACCACCTTCATTGGAGACGTGCTTAATGCACCCAACAATGCCATGGACCTCTACTCGTTCATTTCCAAACCCAAGTTCGTGCCTACTCATCCGCACCATTGGGAGTCTCTCCACATTTCCGACTTGACCCGTTTCCGAGCCATGATGGCCTAGTTCGAAACCGCTCTGCGGACATTTTCGACAAAGTACAGTGGCTTATCCTCTTTTAACGACCAATTACACATGTTTGCATATTCGTCGGTGTTGCGCTATGCGCCTATCACCCATCGACCATCTATGGTCCCCAAGTCAACTCCACAGCCTCCTCTCATTACTGACTCTGTCTACTTGAGTATTGCCCATGCTATGCTTGGCACACCAACTACAGGGAACGACACTGAGTAACGGTGTGATAAGGACATGTGATTGGACAGAGAGGCGGTTCGAATTGGCAAATTGAGGATCATAAAACCAAAATATAAAAAACATCAAATAAAAAAAGAGCTTTGAATATAAGATTAATACGAATATTAATATAAAGAGTAATTAGTACTATTATAGAAAGAGATCGATGCCATGGTTTTCAAGTCTCATTCCTGCAGGAAACTAATTATCACAAGGGATCAAGGTCATAAAAATGCCTATTACTCATATTGCATTACATCGCTGTGACACATGGACTGTTGTTAATTGAGTTTGCATTATCATTTGTTTAAAAATTCCTCCGCAAGAGCCGATACTAGAAGCACATGTTATGGAACCGCTTCGCCAATTGTAACGCGCATGCTCGAGCAGGGGCGGTGTGTAATCTTCGGTTTTTTCTTCGCTCAACGCATCATACCTCGTGCTTCGACCGAAGCCGAGTCCTCATCTTCGTGTGCGGCCCTTGTTATCCGGATTCCCCAGGGGAGGGAAGGATAAATCCTTGCGGAAATAATTCGACGAAACCGGGGATCGAACCCTCGACCATTGAGCTAAGAAACCGATGCTCTACCACTGAGCTATTTTCCCTCCCCCAGACATGGACTGTGGATTTGCACCCCGATGGGACCAACAAAATGTAACATGATCGCATATAAAAACACTATAATTTAATACTCAATTCAAGTAAAGAAAAAAAGTACTAGTATACGGTATATGTCAATGGAACTACAACCCATATAATACATAACTGCCCCCCATTATCTCCCTTGAACAGACGGATAGGGAGCCGCGCAATACAGTCGTGCCTTCAGCTAAGCGTACTACATCGAGCTTTTGGGTGAGCGTCGGTCTGTGTCGAGGCTTCGTTGGCAGCACTGTGGCTGCAGGTAGCACTGACATGCAAGGTTATCAACTAGTGGGGTGGAAAGTTGTTTAAATTGTGACGGGAAAAATTCCGCCAATCATAGTCGAGGTAACGATATCGATGATTATTATTGGTTGATTTGAAAATTTACTCCCGCGCCGTTACTCAGCGCCTTTCCCTGTTCCACCAGCGTCTATGATGCTACTCATGTTCCAATTGATTGCCTCACCAGCCTCGTAGCTGACTCCAAACTCTCAGCAACTAGTCTTGCGCGCCTTTGGCACCGCCGTCTCGTCATCAGGCATTGATGCTAATGAACACATGACAAAAACAATCCCCGAGTTTATGCTCTTTAAGGCCAAGCACCTTCGTGGTCTCACTTATGTGGGACTTGTGCTTACGCCAAGTCCAAGCGCAGTCCTTTTGACTCCTCAGCGGTCTTCCTCGCTAGATCCTACCATGCCCTTGTCCACACGAACATCTGGGACCCAGTCCGATTCTGTCGGCGGGTGGCTCTGCCTACTTCGTCGTCTTTATTGACGATTTCTCCCGCTTTATGTGGGCTTATCCAATACGTTATCGCAAAGGTCTCTATCAGACGTACGAACTATTTCGTACGGATGACATGTCTATTTTTAAATATGATGATGACATTGGCACTCTGCAAAGTGACAACACCAAAGAGTTCGAGAAACTCGACCGCTTCATCCGGCCAAAGTACAACACTCGGGTGGCGTTTACCAACGCCTACTCATCTCAACAAAATACGGTCGCTGAGCGCCGTATCGGCATTGTTGTTCAGAAGACACGAGCTATGCTCATCGAAGGGGCTCTGCCTAATTTCCTACAGCATGTGCTATTGCACTCGACTATGCCTCATGGCTGATTAACATCTCTCCGTCGTCCTCGAACTAAGGTGTCTCACCCTACCACGTCGTATTCAAACGACACCCCTCGTTGGGTCACATCAAAACGTTTGGTTGCACAGCATTTGTGCACCTTTAACGCGCCGCTCAGAACTCCAAGCTCGATCCCCGTGCCGTCAAGACTATGTTCGTGGGTCTCCCACACAACCGCAAGGTTTATACCCTTTTGAACCTGCATTCTCATGCGCTGATCTACTTTCATGATGTTACCTCCTGGGAGTCCGAATTTCCGCTATCAACTATGGCTTCGAAGCCGCGGGAGGGTGTGAAGAACGTGCGACCAAGGGGTTGGTCCAGGTATGGGAGATGGTGCCGTGGTAGAGTCGGCAAAGGGGGGGCAGCGGCTGGCCGGAATGTTTAGAACCCCACTGTGTGGTTTTGTAGCTGTGGGGATGTCATTCCAGATGGGGGTGAAGCGTTGGAGTGTTGCGCGGGTCTAGCCATATTTGGTGCGGAGGGATGGAATGCTGAGCAACATCGTGCCCTTTTCGTGAAACCGCCGTTGCGTATCGCAAACGCCTTGCTTCAGATCCTACTTTCGTTCTATCCTTGGAACCCAACGCCCCATTGCCCTCACTACACTCACTGATTGAGAACAGGCCTAGTGCCTTCATCTACGATAAGCCTCTGGCTCCATCACTACCTACCCCATCCGTACAACCACAGTTCTCTCGGCCCATCATGTCACTCACTGTGGTTCAACCAGACCGACTTTTAGACGTGTTCTCTACTTTCCCGCTGGCAAGCCCAGTCTATGACCCAACTGCCATGCTCGCCGACCGCGCCGACCATGCCCAATGGCTTTTGGCCGCGAAGTCCGAATACGAGTCTTTACTCTCCAACCGCACTTATGTGCTGGTCAAGCGTCGTCATGACGAGACGGTTCTACCTTGTCGCTGGGTTTTTCGACTCAAAGCCGATGGCACCTACAAGGCCCGACTTGTCGTCAAAGCGTCCTTGCAACAAAAATAATCAACCACACGGACATATTTGCTCCGTTTGTACGACTCTAAGTTCTCCGCTTCCTGTTTGCCTTCCATCCATGATTTGGAATGCGAACAAATGGACGTCAAAACTGCCTTTCTCAATGGCAAAATTGACTGCATTATTCGAATGGAACAGCCTCCTGGCTCCCCCATCGACCCCGCCTCTCGATGTGACTATGCGTCTAAATGCTTTATAGCCTCAAACAAGCTCCACACCTCGGGTACGGGACCTTTGTCACATTTATGGCTTTCTTGGACTATGCCCGATTACACAAAGACTGCTGTGTCTTTCTTCAAGCCAGCGACAATGGTTTTACCATCGTTAGTCTCTATGTCGACGAACTCTTGATCATCACTGCGAACAATGCTCTTGCCTCGAGTCTCAAAGCGTCATTATCCAAGCGCTTTCACATGAAGGAATGTCGACGAACTCTTGATCATCACTGCGAACAATGTTCTTGCCTCGAGTCTCAAAGCGTCATTATCCAAGCGCTTTCACATGAAGGACTTGGGTCCAGTTCGAGATATTCTCGGCTGGGAAATCGTCCGCAATCGTCCCAATCGAGCAGTGTTCATCCACCAATCTCGTTACAGTTCTACAGTACTTGATCGCTTCGACATGTCTACGTCGTAGCCCGTCGCCACACCTTTTGAGTGCACTACGCCCCTATCCAAGACTCAGCGTGCTAGTACACCTGAGGGCATCTCTTTTATGCGAACAAAGCCATATCGGTCAATTGTCGGTAGTATTATGTACTTAGCTATGGGCTCTCGGCCTGACTTGGCTTAGGCCCTTCAACAACTCTCACAGTTTGTGCACAACCCGGGTCTTGCCCATTGGCGTGCTGCCAAGCACGTTCTACGCTACCTCAGGGGCACCTCTTTTCATGGGCTTATGCTCAGTGGCCGAGACTATATCTCCAAGCCATTTATGCCCGCTTATGTGGACGCCAACTACGCCATGTGCCCAGACTCGTCGAGGGGTCAGTGGATTTCTGATCATGTTCTTTAACAGCCTCATGTCTTGGTTATCCAAGAAGCAAGGTATTGTGACTCTATCAACCACCGAGGCCGAGTTTGAGGCTCTTGTCCTTTGCATTCAAGAGTGTTTATACCTTCGACAACTCACTGCCGAGCTACATCACACAAGTGATCAACCGATTTCGATTCACGAGTACGACCAATCCGCCATCAGCATCACCCAAAATGCTGAGCATCATGGGCGCTCCAAGCACATTGATGTGCGTTTCATGTTTTTTCGGGATCTCGTTGAGAACACGGAGTTTGTTCTCCATTACTGCCCCACCAAAGACCAACTTGCGGACTTTTTTACAATGGCCTACCCGGAATTTGCGTTTCGCAGGTTCTGCAACGCTCTGTGTATTTACAAACTTCGCGACTTCCTCAATGATCGTGTCCCTTAGCTGGACAGTGCCTTTTGCGCTCCTGCCTTATGGCACCCCTACCCATTATTTATGCCTTATATAATCGAACAGTATCTGCCCCTCGTGTTCTACACATAGCATATATATGCATTGGCTATATTAGCTACCACTTTTTATTCACGACTACACTTTTCGCCCCACGACCTTGGTGGGGCTTGTTCACTTCTATGTCTGCTCCTGTCGCTTAAAGTGGGCGGTCTCGTCTGGCCAATGGCGCCGCTCAAGGCTCGGCCGTACGAGTGGCGCACGGTTTGAGTGAGTCTCTTCAAGGTGCTCCAACACCTCCGTCCAACCTCCTACTGACTATTCATGGGTCTTTGCCCTGCTCTTTGAGCCTCATTATCTTGTTTTTCGTTGCATCTATGCACATCCTGGTACTTACAATTTCGTTTTACTTGGGCTCACATTCGGGACAAACTCGTGTTCACAATCGATCGGACCTTTAGCACAATGTCTTGCTCAGATACGTGTTCGAGAATTTCTAGTGTGACTTCAAATTCGCTTCTGCATACATCTTCACGCGTTTCGTATGGGCTTCGCGTTCTTCATGAGGTGCTCCAACACCACAGAGAATTCGACAGGTCCCTTGGCGCCAATTCTGTGAAACGATGCGTTAGATACACTCTAGTACTACTCTGGTACGTGAAGAGAGTCCGATTTGACATCTCATTGGTGGAATTTTACTAACTTTACGATTCAATGCAATATCATTGGCTTGCTAAATAGCGCAAGGTCTCGTCTTTGATTGGCTGCATTTTTCCTGTTCCAAGTCGTTTTTGCTCAAACGTTATGGCGGCAGAAAAATGTTTTCTCATCGTGCAGCAAACATATCAACCCGCTGAGGAGTCAAATTTGAATTTTATCCCTTGTGATCAATCAATACATACAACCAAGCTATCCTCTTTCTCGTGCGAACCATACCATCCCCGTGTCACCCATCCCTTAACAGCCCACAGCGGCCCGCAACGAAGCTCAGCAATTCGACGCGCACGTCAATCTACCACACTTTGCTTGAATTCAGCGTCAACGGACAGCTTCTGTATGGGGCGCTTGAGCATACTGCTAAAATGTTCCAGTGCCACGGCAAGACGATATCACGTGTCTGGACCCGTGGGCGGCTCTCTCTCCACAAAGGCATCAATGCAGCCGACGTGCCGTCCAAATTCAAAGGTATAACGTGCATCGATTGCCACGAGTATTCATTGATAGATTTAACTTTACTAGGGAATTCCGGCGTTCCCAGCCCACAATCATCCGGCGTATGAAGACCAACAAGACACTCAAGGACAAGTCCAGCTGCTCCAAGCCCTACCTTAGGGAGGGCAACGCTGTGCACAGCTTGCAATATGCACTGTCTTTCCTCCGTATGTCGTCAAATCGAATCATTTTTGATAGCATGTACCAAACAGTACATGCTGATGAAAAATGGTTCTTTTTTACGACCGTCAAGAAGCGCGTTTACGTATACGAAGATGAAGGAGTTGCCTTGCGCGCATTGAAGTCCAAGCGCTTCATTACGAAGGTTATGTTTCTGGCGGCCGTCTCCAGGCCACGATTTGACTACAACTAGGGCAGCATGTTCAACGGGAAGATCGGCATTTGGCGCGTCGTCGAGAACGTCGTTGCCAAGCGAAACAGCCGCAGCCACCCCAAGGGAACTGTTTTGTTGGCCCCACAATCTGTGACGGCAGCAGTGTACCGCGCGATGATTTTGGACAAGGTCTTCCCTACGAATCAAGCCAAAATGCCCCGACAAGGTCAGGGTAATGTAATATATTTGCAGCAAGATAATGATAATGCGAGTCCACATAAGCTTGTGACGACGCAACTGCTGTTGAAGTATGGTGAACGGCATCGAAGTTGCAAATCAGCCCCCAAATAGTCCTGACTTCAATGTCTTCGATTTAGGGTACTTTAATTCCATGCATAGTCTACAACATCAAAAGTGTACTGGGACCATCGACGAGCTTATTATACATAAGGGCTCAGTTCCGTGTCAACACGGTTCCGTGCCAGAGATCATATTGGCCAATTCTCAGCCAATAATCTGTTGTCTTGACAGTGGCCGCATGCAACAAGGAATAACATCCACCTATACGTATAAAATGTTTAACGTGGTAATTGCCACAGATGAGTACTTTTGATGTAGAGGCAGGGCGACTTTACCCTGGATATCCGATTTATAAAGTTTGACATGTTTTTTTCAATTTGTACTACTTATGGAGATTCAATTTTGCAAGATCTGTTTAAACACATTGAACTTCAATAACCCGTAAAAGAACATAATTGCCGCCAAAATCACCAATATTAGAGTGATTTGACCACCACATTCGCGAAATTGCGCTGCCATCGCTTCCACGCCACGGTCGCGATATGGATTCCGAGTCGTCGGTACTCCTCGAGGCCATGGAAATGGTCAAAACCAAGCGAATGTCGAGCAGGATAGCAGCAAAGCACTACGGCATTGGCCGTATGATGTTGCAGCGCTGTTTGAAGAACCACGTTCAACCTTTGGCGCGAAACGGATGTCACGGGGTTCTTCCGTAACTGATCGATGGGTAGGTGCGGCGCGAGCAAGCGTAGAATCCAAAATCCAGGTGTGGAGTTAGAGGCCAAATGTAAAGTCGAGTTAGTTTATCCTCTAGCTGACGCTATTCGTTCTATCTTTCCATCGTCCTCAAACCGTTTTCCGTGTTCTATCATTCTACCAGCTTTAGCTTCAAGCAGCTCTCTGTGTACTGTCACGCTGGCGTGGCCATTTCACCGAGCCAGGAGATTCCCGCAAATAGGCGTCACGAGGTAGTCCGTGGCAAGTTCAGGACGTTAGGCCAAATTCGACGATGTTTATCGTGTCCGAATAATGCTGGTTTGACGATGTTTATCGTCCCAAATCAAGGTAAAAATGTACTTCGAAGTATGTTTCATGCCATTAACCGGATCATAGGTCAATTGTAAATACCCTAAA